AAATCCAAAATCCATTAAAAAAATGATAAGTACCCGCCAAATACCCTATTTCTAGGGTATTGGGGCTGTTGTGAAATAAAAGGAATTAAACATCAGGCCAGTCCAGAGATCCATAGAACTGCAACTTTGGTGGGCCCAATCCAATTCAACACAAACTTTTGAATGGGCTGGGCTTAGTCTTAGTTTGGGTATGAAATTTCTAGTTTGACCTCATCTCAAAGTTGGGCTTGGGCTCTTGCATTTATAGCATGTATATATATATATATATTATAAAAAAGAATCAAAGTCATGCACGTAAAAAATACACATGTATATTTATGAATGCCAAATATTTGATGCATTTTTCCTTTTGTTCTTATTTCTAAATTATATTAGGATGTCAACAAGTAGGGTTGGGTTAAAACAAATTTGTCTTAGCCCAAACCCAAACTGACCCGACTAAACAAGTAAACAGAGAAAATGAACCTGACCCGTCTTGTCCCATATACAGTACACCTATTATCTATATTTAATCAAGCTTGCATTTACAAATATTTCAATATTGCTGCAATACTAACAGGCCATGGTTTAACATTGATTCACCTCAACCCGAACCTGACCCGAAACACAGTTAAGGCTGACCTGACCCTCAATGCGGGTTCACCACTTGACCCAACTCATAGACATCCCTAATTGAAACAAAATGCCCAAGTTAAAGGTAGAAATGCAGAACATGAATGGAAAGATTTGCAAACACGACCAACCCTTTCAAACATAAGAAAGCTAGCCCAAGCAGCCTGAATTGTCTTGGGTTTAGCTCATACTGGACATCAGATTAGCTAATTTTAGCTTTGACCTCAGGCAATTGCTCATTTATAGGATTGAAATAGTATATAATTTGATCCATTAATATATGCATTAATTTGAATAATATTGAACACATTCATTAGATTTAATCCATCGAACTTCTCTGCTGTTAATCCCAATCCCAAATAAAGGAGGAGGGTTGTGTTAGATTGACAAAGGCACTAAAATTTTTACCAAAACTCTCATGGTGAAAAAATCATAATGATGACGATATGCATCCATCTATTCATATCAAATCATAATCGTATATTATAAATTATCACTTAATTAAATTAAAAAGAACTAAAGTAATTTATACCTTTACAGTATAAATGGCAATACTTGCCTTGGCTTTTCACAAAGGACAAAAAAGTTAGGTCAAAATATTTGTATAATATAGTATGATGTGATTTCAATGTTTTCAAAGGTTGGTTGTTTAGATATTTTAATGTTTTTCTATAATTTTACCCTTTTATTTTTACTTTCACACATGTGCAGACATGTGCTCTTGAGCTAATTATAATGAAATGACTTTGATTTTATATATCACAAATTAAATGACTTAATAATAACTTTTTGTGATAAAACTAGAATTAATATAACACCCGAACCAACTTTGTTTATAACTATTTCTCCATTTTATATAGACTAGTTTAGTGACATGTGTCAGATGAGAGAGAGAAAGACTGAATCATAGGATGCGTGTCTAGCTAGGCCTTGTTCCCCATAACTTGCCACCTCATCCACATCTTGACCACATGTCACATGACACGTCAGATGGGATCCTACCATGAAAATCATTTGGACCAAAACTTAGGACAACAGAAGATTAAAATGTGATTCCTTAATAGTGAATTTTCTTATCTTTTACATATGTTGCTTATATTAATACATTTATAGCTTCAAGCCTCCAACTACTCATTTTATTGAATCACTGGACTCAAACTTCCAACTTCCGACTTCCGATGCAATTAGATTAGAGGTCCTAGTAGCGCATATATCAGATCGGATCGGATGGTTGGATCGGAAAAACCGGGAATCGGTCAGGTGATTAGTTACATTTTTTCTTAAAATCAGATTTTTTTCAAAAACTGTTGATTTTAGTCAATAAACTGCTGATTCGAGCGGTTAATTGTTTGAATCATTCGAACAGTTTTGACCGTTTTTTATTTTTTTGTCAATTCGTTCTCTGAATCGGTTTAAAAAACCTTGGTACAAAAACTCCATCCATGATCCACCGCATTACAGTCGAGCTAAAAAGAATAAAGAGAGAAGCCAATGATACATGAAGAATGGAACAACAACAATGCTAAATGTTCTTCTGGTCTTATGCAGACAACAAGAAACCTAATCCTCTGTTTTCTCAAATTCAAAACCAATGACCGGAGGAGGCACCCAATTCAATTGATCAAATTCTAAGGGATTAATAAGGACACCCACTAAGTGACAAGAGCTAAACAATAGTTTATGGCTGAGAAACAGAGTTGAGGGTGGGGCTGCAGCTAGAATGAAACGTGGGGGAGGAGGAATTCTGATTGATTTTTTGCACTTTTGAAGTGTGAGTTTTGTATGTATTAATTGAGCTAACCAGTGCAGTAAATTTATATTTTTAGTGTGTGTTTTGTTTGTAGGTGATTGGATGTATTCTTCATTGGTATTAATTGAGCTAACAAGTGTCAATAAATCTATATTTTTAAAGCAATTAAGATAGATTAATGCATTCCATGGTGGTATAGTGATTGGGCTAACCAGTGACAATGTATTTATATTTGAAAAATCAATGAGACTAGTTTATAACACTTTGCCATTTCAACTAAAGCTTCCACATCATATAATTACAAATTTAATATCATTTCTTAAAGCTGATCATGTCCTACCAAGTGGCCCATATACCCTTGTTATTTGAAAGCTATGTTGGACTCATCTCATTTGTTCTGAGCTTCTTCATGGTTGATTTTGGATTTTGTCACTATAAAAGGATTTTCTGTGCATATTGTGTTTCACATGGAAAAGAGATGATAAATCCAAAAATGTAGACCAGACAATCTGGCTGGGTTGAACCCAAGTCGGCCTATTCATAGTAGTTTTGTTTTTAGTTGAACAAAGTCAATTGCATTGCAAAAGAAAGAAAAAGCAAAGTATCGGACAGCAATTTCAGTAAGATTAAATAACTTTGTAACAGATGGGAATTAGATAGGAAATAAATGGGAATTTGCTTGAATAAAGTGGTGGGTGTCAAAGTGTGAAATCATAATTGGTTCTATTCATTGATATAGACATATTATGTATGTATGTATGTATGAATATATGTATTGCAGTTGGTTCACTTGACTTTAATTTTTGCAGGTAAATGAAAGACAAACAAATAGGTAGAAAGAAAAAAAGCTTCAAACATGTGATTGGTTAGGATTCATCCCCCCTCCCAATAAAAAAAAAAAAAAAAAAAACTAATTAAAAAATGATCTCTAAGGGCTAACCTACTGTTCAGCTATATCACAACAAAATCAGCCATGGGCAGGGACCATCAGCTATCAGGGAAGGCCTGTACAGCCAGCCGAGTTGTTTCTGGCTCTGTAACAACAAACAAGGTCATTTAAACTTGGATGGTAATTGGAATAGATGCTTTTACAATTACATGATTACAGATTTGCTAACCCTAATGGTGAGTTGTCACTGCAAATTGTATAAATTAATAACCCAGTTTAATTAATGGGAAGCTTTGATCTCATGGTTTGGCTGAGAGCTAAACTAATAAATTTCATAAATTAACAACAATCTTTTTTTTTTTCCAATAACATGTAATTGGTCTCAACAAATTTGTACCTAGCAGCCTCTAAAGTTGTATATAAATTTTATTTTGAATAACAGAAGTACAATTTCATGGTATGAAGCCAAGACCTCTCTTTCTTTTCCTTTCTTTGATTTTCAATAATTCCATTTAAAAGCACCAAATCTCAAATCTTCTTAATTAATTTCTCATTTTGATTATCCATTTACATAGAAGACAATGCCACAAACACCAAAAATTCCTTCCCACCAATATATTTAAATACTACAGCCATCCAAATAAGCTCAATGAAAGATCATCATCCCACACCCACTCAAAATCTTAAGAAAAATCCAAAATTTGTCATGGGTGTTATCTCATTCATTTTGTCATTAACTGTCTAATTCAATCCGATGTGCAATCTTGGAGTAATTGAAAAGCTGATCTAACTTTATAGGGATATTCAACGTTAAGAGAAGGTCTGATCATAGATGAGGTGACAAGTGTACATTAATTAATCTTAATATTTTCTAGTTTAATATATGAATCTTGTAATTTTCCCATAGCTTATTTCACTTTGTACAATGACCCTATTCCCAAGGATAAGAATTATAGAGGTCCCGATCCATTAGGCTTTAAATTTGTTTTACTACCTCATCACCATTAATTAGACACTTGGGTTAGTTGGGTATCAACTTTCTTAGTCTATTTTGGTTTGTATTTAATTATAGAAATGCCTTATTGGTATCGTAGATAAGGAATAATCTAGCCACGTGTACACTGGCAACAGGTATCAATATTATAATTTCAAATGAGCGAGCCTGCCGATGAGAACCGCAACTAAGAACCAACCCACTCATCCATTCTACTTGGGCCGTAACCTCCAAAATGCGACTATCCAAGTATCCATTGCTTGATAACAAAACAAGAAGAAGAATGAAGGGACTTGGAAGCTTATGGGCCACAGGCAGCCAATCAAATTTGGCCACTTCACCCATGTTAACGGGGAATCTAAAACTTCACAAATAGCCTAAATGAAAGAATGCATCTGTAATTCAACAGAGTCCAAGCTGAAAATGATTTTCATAAACCCAACTCATCTGATATATTTTGATTACCCCAAATTCAACAAAAAAAAAAAAATTGTAAGTGATAACTGAATCTCAACGGTGATCATGTAGGTCAGCTCCTATTGAGGGTAATATCGGAATCTAAGTATTAATTAACCTCCATGAGAATATATTGTCCTTGTTAGCTAGTTGCTACAACCAAAAATATTAGAATATATAGAGTCTGACGAATTATATTATATGTCATACACATAAAACAAAAGGGAAAACCATCATACCAGTTTTACCCTTGTTACATATTCTTCCATTATTTCGTATTAAATATCGTACCCTTGTATTCCTCCATTCGCCCTAAACCATCTCTCTCCCTCTCTCTCATGGACTCCATTGAGAGCCCAACATCATCCTCATATCATACACAGGTTCCATGCAGAGATCATGAATCAGAACCAGATGAAACAGAGAATTTTCAAGAAAGCCAAGTGAAGATAAGAGGTTCCGCGCTTCCAATAAAAGCTAGTGGTAGCGGAAGAAGGTTCCTTGGGGTAAGGCAGAGGCCCTCGGGAAGATGGGTTGCTGAAATTAAAGACTCTTCACAGAAGCTGAGGCTGTGGTTGGGGACTTTTGATAGAGCAGAAGAAGCTGCCATGGCTTATGACAACGCTGCGAGGCTTCTAAGAGGGAGGAACGCAAGGACAAACTTCCCATATCACGAAAACATGAAGATCCATGAAAGGAATTACAGCTTACTAAGAAAGAACCCAAGATTCTCTCAGCTTCTTCAACGCGCAATCATGAAGAACCACTGGAAATTCTCATCTGCCAGCACTAGTACTCATCAGAAGCAAGGATTTGAATCAGGTTCTATTGACGTCAATTCTATCGTTGAAGAAACCATAGTATGTTCTTCGAGCCCAGAGAAAGGGTTGAAGTGTTATGGCTCTCAAGAGAGAGATGGGCTTTGTGGATTCTCGTTTCGTGGTTGTAAAGTTTATTCTTCTGTTATCGTATCTCCTTCTTTTAGTGCTTCTCAATGTGATCAAGCAGAAGTACAAGCGGAAGAGAGGAAATATGAAGGGACTCAATCACTTGAACCTCTCTTTGTGCATGCAACTGGGTTTCTGGAGAGTGGCTTTGTGCAAGAGTAAAGAAAGTTCTTTCTCTGAGATTCATGTTCAGAAAGTTGTAAGCTGTAGTGTAGTTTGTTAGCTACATATATCCTCCTTCCCTCTACATCAAAATATAAATATATATCTTGTTTGATGAATGATCAATCCTTGGCTTTCTTCTGAGAGGTGTGCTGTCATCTTTCAGTTGTTCATCACTGATTTTAATGTTCAAATTAAGTAGGAATTTGAGAATCACCATCAAAATTATATTTCTCTTTTGTTTGGTTTAACAGGCCTCTAATTGAACTCTCTAACAATTTTAGGATTATATATATATATATATCTGACAAGTGTACAAGTACAGTCTCAGATACAAAGACCCTTTGTCCATCTCTGAAGGGAAAGTAATCCCCAGATATCCATTCAAGAATTGTGTTGATTTGTGCTTATTGACATACTAATTAACAAAATACTATCTCCAGGTCAAAGAAGATACAGAAAAGAAAATTAAGAACAGGAAACTCTCACGGTTGGATCATCCACCTTCAATGGTCTCCTTGACCGGATTTCACTCATGGATGGTTGATGTTGCTTCCGCTCATGCAACAGTTCCACTTAATTATACTGGACCACTAAAATGATCATAATTGGCCCAGTTAAAATCTTGTAGTTCTGTAGAGACAAGTTGGTTCTAGTACTCCACTGCATGTGTTGTGAAAATCTCCCTTATACAATCCAAGAGTTAAAAGTTGAATCACAGGGGAAAACAATTAAAAACTCTTGCATCCACACCCCCGTAACTTTCCCTACCAAATACACATTAGTTTTCTTTCATTGTTCCATATAATATAGGTTGAAGAATTTGAGCTATATTTCCAATTTCCATCCCCTTTAATGATGAATTGAAAATGTTGTTTTCTTTACCATTTAAATCAAAACAAGTTACAAGGGGTGGGAAAGTAAGGTTTTCTTTATAAAGCGGAGGGGGAATGATGGAAGGAAATTTCAGCCTGAAAGTAATGACCATCCTAAGGAGAAACAAACAGAGCCATAGGGTAGGGACAAAGCATTCAGAAATCCAAGGAGGGGAGCTTCAGAAGGCATCAGCAAGGGGGATTAATGCAATCCGTTGGAGAACTGGACCAACATAACTGAAGAAGAGAGCTCCGAGCCTCCGATCCAAGAGCTTGATAAGATTCTTCTGCAGCTGCAGATAGGACATCAGAGGACATAAGGTTGTCCTCATGAGGTGCCACACTCACAATAATATAGGATCAAATTAATGTGGGTTGATTGCCTAAGGAGAACGTACCACCATATATATGACATACGGCCTCTGCCATTACTAGAAGGCAAGGTTTGTATCAAGCCAGAGCATTATTAATTACAGCATTGTTTGTTGGGGTGGAGCGAGGTGGACCAGAAATGTAGAAGAAAGGCCAAAGTGAAGGAGTGCGGGAGGAGCAAGCATGCAGCACCGGTATGAGGAGAGAAGGGGAGGAAACTAATTCATTATGCAAAAGATATCGAGAGTGAAAAACACTTCATTGCTACATATTGAGAAACCCATTTCCAATCAAGCACCCTCCAGGCTCCAGGCAGCTTCTTTTCACCAACTCCATCAATGAAAGAAAACCATTTCCCAAACACTCGCACTCTCTGGGGTTTGAGAAACGCATTTCCCAAGCATGCTTTGGAGGGCATCTGCTTTTCGGTTTTCACTAATTCCATTGACAAACCCTTTTTCCAGGCATACTCTTGGGCATCTCCTTGTTTGTTTTCTGGATTTTTTCTTGTTTGTCTTTTCCTGTTTCTCACATTTCCCGACCCTAATTACCACGTGCAACTCGAAAGCTGTCTACGTGTATATATATATATATAAAACTGAATCGAATGCTTCGGTTTTGGTTCAATATTTTTGAAAAACCAAAAACTAATTTGATTTTTGGTTAACTTTAAAAAACCGACAATTAATCAAATCAACCGGTATTATATATATATATATATATATATATATATATTTATAATAATCTGTTTATAAATATATTATATTCTTATAATCTTATAACATATATAATATATTAAATATTATTTATTATTTATAAAATAATATTTATATAATATATATTATAAGTATAAAAAACTAAAATTTGCATAACTGAATTGATCAAAAATCAAAACCATTCATCTGGTTAACCAGTGCTACCAATTCTGTTTGAAAGAAAAAAAAATGTATACAATCAACCGAACCGTGAACACCCCTATTTTTTTGGATTAGAAAAGAAAACACCGGCGAGTGATTTAGAAGACTCCAGGAATATTCTGGAACCTGGGCCCCGTAATTGTACATTTGTACATGCATCTGTGATCTGTCAGTCCAAAACACCAAGGAGATGATAAGAAGGGAACTCATCATAAATGGGTAGCAGAGAAAATTTTTGGCTGTTCTCCCAAATTGAGTTCCTTGCTTTTTTGTTTTTTACTCAAAGAATTCATGCATCTGTAATCCGTAGTTTGTTTTTTACTCAAATAAATAAACAAAGTAAAATTTACAACAAAAATAAACCAGAATTTGCGTTGCACTGATTTGCACTTCCATACGTATATACTTCTGCACTACTATTAATGAAATTACATCAAAACAAATTAGTGTTTTTTTCTTGTAATATGAGGAGCTACACAAGACCGGGGGAGGGGGTAAAATCATTCAAACAAATAAAAAAAAAAAGGGGAGAGAAAAGGGATTAAAGAAAGGGATTAGAGGGAGAAAAAAGTTTAATTTGCTAGTCGATCTACAGCTTGATTTGTTTCTTTGAAGGAGTGAGTCAAGCCAGATTCGAGCAATCTTCGATAATGGACTTCAGCCTCCAAGGATCTTCAATTTGCTTCTTTAGGCATGAGATCCCAAGAAGAGAGTTATCTTCAATGTTGATAAAAAGTATTTTGAAACTTAGCACAACATTATTGGCTTCCCAAGCCACCCAAGCTTAAGTGGTAACACCAATATAGTATGCTTTTTCACATCAAGAATTTCCTCTATATGGTTCATCGTAATGCACGCAATAGAATAATCCCCATTAACATTTCTTGAGGCATCAAAATTTATTTTAATAACACACTCTCTTAGGCTTTTCCCACAGATAGTCCTCCGGTTTAATTTTTTTTTCCATTAATTTCTAAGACTAGTGATATTTTTATCACAAGCAGTATATTCCAAGTAGTAATTTAGAGGTCGATCAACTAAAATTGATGGGGGAGGCACCGATTGTGAAATATTTTATCATTTCTGTTCTTCTAGAGATATTATAAAATGAAGCTACATTTATCGTGGGCCATCGATCCCTCCAATCCATGACCGTAATTCAAGTTTGCCCATCAGTTATATATTGAGGAGACATTTTTTTTGTGGATTTAGGTTGCATTTGGCATTCCTTAAGGATTTATTTCATTTTTATGGTTAAAATTTCGATGTTCATAAGGTTATTTTAACTATAAAAAGGAGATAAGTCCTTAAAATAAGGAATGCTAAATGCAGACTTAGAGTGCTAGAGTTTATAGATAATCAAATTTGTTTTGCAAAAGAGCAATATTTAAAATTAGAGATTAGTTGCAAATACTCCTTTACCCCACACGCATGAGAACGGTCCCAGGCTATTTTTCTCCAAACAAAAGTTTTGTTTTTTCCAAATTTTAATGCGGGCTAGACCCAATTAAATAATCCATGCTTGATTTCATTTTCAGTTCAAACTTGGGCCTTAGGCTCAATTCTTAGGATCGGGCTGGAATGAACTCTAAGCTGGCCCAACACGCCCAACTTGCACCCCTAATCAAATTTTACTTGGAAGTATTTTTTAATTTCTTTTTACCTTGAAGTCTTTAAACAATGATGATGATGCACTAATTAATAATTAGGCCCTGTTTGCTTTTCGGTAAGTAACTTACCAGAGTAAATGCAGTTACCTGGGTAAGTTTTTCTTGAGAAACACGTACCCATGTTCTTTTATTTCTCATATAAATAAGGCAATGACCATCTTAGCAATAAAAATCCATTATTAAAAATGTCATTTTTGTCCTATTCAAGTGTTGGCAACTTTCCCCGCGGGTGGAAAAGTTAATTTACCCACCTAGGAGATGGGCAGGAAAATAAATTTTCCCTATTCCTATTGACCAACTTTCCCCCCTCTCAAAATCTGAAAAAAGAACGCCCCCTTAGAGGTAAATGACCTCTAGGTTCTAGGATCATTAGTCAAGCGATCCAGAAAAACTGGGAATCGGTCAAGTGACCGGTTTAGTTTCTCCCCAAAATCGTTGATTTTGGTCAACGAACCACTGAACTGGGGAATTAATCGTTCAAATGGTTTTGACTGTTTTTTATGTTTTTGAATTGTTTGTCAGAACAGGCCGAGTATTCGATTCAAATAATCGGAACGTTCAACCCAATAACCGGACCCCTAACTGGTTCGGTCACCGAGTCGATTTTAAAAATCATGAATCAAGCGGCCTCTCTCAAAGGGAGGAGACAGGAATTCTTTATTCAAACTTGGGCAACCTAGGTTTAAGTCTTCAGTGGCGTGCTCAAGTGATCCGGCCCGTCTGAATCCGAATCTTTCTGCCTCAGCGGCACCATAACTCGCCATCACCATTCATGTTTCATATTGGAAGTAATAGGACTATAACTAGTTAGGCTCAAGACTATAAATATAAATATGTACAGTACGAATACATATAAAATAATACAAAATATAAGATTTTACACTCAACATATTTACATTTGTATTCTTTCCAAATTGAGCCTTAATTATTTTTCCCGGTGCAAATGCAAAAATGCATGAACTAAATAGAAATAAAGAAAACAATTCAAAAGATTCTTATATTAGCACCCTTGGAATCCAAATTCAAACACTTTGGAAGGTAATGCCTACCCAGGAGCCTAATAGAGAGAGCCCAAACTTAACTTTTCAGCCCCTAATTTAATTCTCTGTACCCGTTTGGGAAGGCTGAAGACGGCTTTCTGACTTTCCAAGGTGGCCCTCACGGCCAACCACTTATTCAGAACAGAGGCTTATTTCCATCACAAGTGCTTATTGGTGTTGAACCGGCCTCAAATAAGTGCTTAAAAATAAGCACTCCCAAACTGGGGCAAAATTTTTGGTTTTTCTTTTTCTTTTTTTTTTTTCTAAACAGGCTTTTTAGCA